CAGTGACAACACCCTTACATGCCAGTCAATCAAAAGCTGGCTCAGTGGAATAAAAATGCTTTGGCAGATGAAATCAACCCATTTGTGTTATCTAAACATCTACCAAAACCTGAACTCCACTGTTTAATTTCCCTTGTTGCTTTTTTCTTTGGTCCATAGGTAATTGTGAAGTGGGTTGCTTAACTTTGAAGGGTCTGAAAGTTTTCTACTTACCTTTTTGTTATTTATTTCTACACAGTGGTCAGAGAATATAATCTGCATGATTTCAAAATTTGCAATTTATTAAAACTTGCTTTGAGGCCCAGCATATGATTTGTGAAGTGTTTCATGTCTGGTAAATGTTTCACTTGAGAAAATGTATAATCTAGGGTTGTTAATTTAATGTTCTATCTATATCACTTAGAACAAATTGGTTAATGTTGCTCAAATCTGTATCTTTACTATTTTTTCTTGCTTATAGAGAAAGAACTGTGTTAAAACTTCTATCTATGATGACGTTTTATGTTTCTGTTTTTAATTGAATGTTTGCTTTATGTTTCTTGAGGTTGTGTGGCTAGGTACATACACAGTTAGGCTTTTTACATGGTTAACCACTCATATCTATGGATTCTGTATTTTTATAGGAGGGTGTACATAGGTTCTGTACAATACTATGCCATTTTACGTATGGTACCTGAGCATCTGCAGATCTTGGTACTTGTATATCTGTGAGGTGACATCCTGAAACAAATTCCCCAGAGATACTGAGGGACAACTTTGTATTTATTCCATCATTATGTTTTCTTTTCATAAGAAATGATCTTTATTTATATAATACTATGTGTCTTAAAATCTACTATACTGAATGGACTTCAAACCTCTTAATCACAGTAGCTTGTTTATTTCCATTAGATGTGTTTACTAATATGGCTAAGCTTAAGTCTACATTTTTCTTATTGGTTTTGTATGTTTTTGCTCACTGATTCCTTTTGTTGTTCTTCCTTTCCTACTTTCTTTTAAATTAATTAAACATTTACTATGTTTTTTTTTTTGCTTTGAAGCTGAATAAGGAGAAATTTTAAAAAACATAATCCTCTTTAGCCTGTATGCTCTATTTTACTTCTGTTTATAGAAGCCTTATGGTACATTTGCATTGTATTTTATTTTGTCATTTTCTTTTAGCCTGCAAGACAGTCTATCAGTTTGGTAGTAATATGTCCACATTCATCCTTGACTTTAATAATCTGAGTCTTATCTTTTTTTTTTTTTTTATCTTGGTGAATCCAGAGAATTTTTTTCCAATTTTGTTGGTTTTTTTCCTGAGAAAGAAGTTTTGGTTTCATTGATTCTCCATATTGATTTGTAGTCTCTGTTTTGTTTATCTCTACTCTAATATTTATTATTTCCTTCCTTTTGTTTGCTTTGGATTTAGCTATTATTCTTTTTCTGTTTCCTAAAGGTAGCAGATTGGGTTATTGATTTAAGATCTTCTTTCTTAATGTGGGCATTTACAGCTATAAATTTCCCTTTGAGTACTGTTTTCGCTGCACTCTATAAATTGTGGTATGCTGGATTTTTGTTTATATTCATCACAAAATATTTTCTAATTCCTTTGTGGTTTCTTCCTTGAGCTACTGATTATTTAAGAACTTTTCACTTATATTTCACATACTTGTGAAATTTATGAATATTCTTTTGTTGTTGTTAGTTTCACTCCATTGTGGTAGCAAATATTTTGTGTGATTTTAAAGTTTACTGAGACTTGTTTTGTAGCCTGACGTATGGTAGGGCATGGAGTACTACTTTAATACTAACTTAAAAGTTTACCTCCGCAGTTACCTTAGAGGTATTCTGTATTTCCTCATGTAGATTTGAGTTACAGCCTAGTACCCTTTTATTTTAGCCCAAAGAACTTTATCATTTCACGACAGCTCTACTAGTGACAAACTATCTTTATTTTTATTTAAATTTCTCTCTCAGTGTTTAAGCATAGTTTTGGTATATAGGATATGATGAAAATATATGTCAAACATTTAAATTTTTAAAACTTACAATAAATTGGTGCTTGTATTGTTTGATCAATTTTCCATACCTATAGCTGGTAATCTGAACAACTACTTTGAAGACAACATTATGCAATATAATAACCTTTGTTGACTTCCTAGCATCTTGTTTTGAAATTCTGTTCCTTTTTTATTGTTTTTTTCTTTTTTAAAATAAAAAAGTTATAATGAAAGGTACATTGTCATTAATCCCTACAGAATACTCTCCTGCATCAAACAGACTTATTCCATCATTCTTGCTACTTTCTCAAGTGGTCTTGAAGTCCTCTTTCATGAGTGTCTTTATGTCATTTGATAAAAATATGGTGAATGCTACTGCCAAGTGTCCCCTCAAGGAAAGCAGGGTTATACAAGGATGGTAGTGTGTCCTCACCAACCTCATTCACTGGATGTGGCACGGTGGTACTTTGGCTCTTCTCTAGTAAAAATGACTATTAAAGGGAAATTTTGAACTGATGCAGGATATTGAGACAGCCAAGACACATGAAAGAGGACTTTCTGAACTCCTGCAGAAAGTGTCAAGAATGATAGGTAAGTGTGTCTAAAGTGAGGGGGAGTACTTTGAGGGGAGTTAAGGGAATGTATTCTATACTGTAACAATTTTTTAAAATGTTAATATTCACTGTGTTTTTAATCACCCCTCATATAAAACACTCTTAGTTGACCAATATTTTTCTTTTTAGCACCTCACATATGTCACCTCATGGCTTTCTGACAGCTATGTTGTAGAATCTTCTTTGTCTTTCATCTTCAGACATCCATTGTTTCTAATAAAAGTAGCCAACATTATTGCTTTTTTCTAGAAGCAGTGTACCCTTATTTTCTGGATGCTGCTGACTTGTCTTTAGCTTTGGTTTTCCGAAACTGAGTAAATTATTACAGAATACTATTTTTCATTATATTATTTTTACCTAAATGCAACTATTGTCTTTCATCAGGTTTTTAGTTAGTATTTTTTCAAACAGCTTTGCAGCTTCATTCTCTTTGTTCTCTCCATTACACTCTTTATATATGTTGGTCCATTATATATTATAATTTACATTACTGATGCTTTTGTCTTTCTCTCTTTCTTTTTTCTT